AACAAATTAAAATTTAGATTATATTTTATATAAACCACATGCAGCTGGCTACATGCCTATGCCGTAGATATATTATGGGCCAAGGGCTATATGGTACCTATATAACAGTTAATGTAGTAGCATGTTGTATAATAGCTATATTGGCCAAGCAGCTGGTGGGCTATGTCACGGCTGTTTCATTCAATATAAAAGCAAGCCTGACGTCACAAGAATTGTGATTGTGAAATTAAAAAAAATATTCCCGCATAAAAAGTATAAAAATTCACTAAATTTAAAATAATATAATTTTTTTTCTATAAATGCTTTCATCTTCAAATTAAAAAAATATAAAAGAACTATCTTTCTTCGTTTAATAAATATTTACATTAGACGAAATAAAATAAACATTGTTAAAATATTTTAAATGATTTGGTTTTTGTGTTTTTGGCGATTTTAACGAAAAACCTGTCTTAGGCCAACCAAGATTTGATAACATAGCTACATGGTTCATGGTTGAAATTTGGAACATTTATCCATGAATGTCTATTCTATTTGATTTTCGGTGATCGTAAATAATTTTTTTAGCAAAAATTAGTTTTTAATGCATTTATATTTTGGTTTTTTTAACTTTTATATGTAAAATATAGTTTTTTTGTAACGATCACCAAATTAATAAATTTTCAATCCTTTATGCACACGAAAATCCAAAAATTGTTATTTACACCTCTAGCTATGTTACTAAATGTGTCTTCAAACTTGGCTGGCTTACAACATTTTGCCTATTTTTATGCATATATTTTTGTTTACATTTTAAAACAATCACGTGACTTTATTTTACAAGTAAAAAAGTAGCGATTTGCTTTACTGACATAAATATTACCTGTCTCAGTTAAGAATCAAGTTTAAATAATTTTCTTTTTAAGTTAAAGTGGTCTAACAATGCGTATATTTAATAATAATTATCTAAAATATACTTTTTAAACTTTTTTTTGATAAAAAGTGACAACAAATTACTGAAATTTAGCCAAGCTCATCATTTGGCACGTTCTATCTAAAATCGAAGAAAGATTTCAATCATTTATTTAATGTCATATGGTAAAACATTTTATTGGTGTTTATATTTTTTTTACAGAACAAAATTATCTCTAATATTTAAAAAATTTAAAAAGTTCTAGTAACACCTATTAAGTAGTTATTTTTTTAAAAAAACAAGAAGCCTTAAAGCTCACTTTAAAACAGCCATGATGTAGTACTTATGTAATTCTATGTAACATTTTATGTAACATTCCTGTTTGTTTTTTATGAGTTGACAAGCCGATAGTGTGTATATATATATATATATAAATATATATATATATATATATATATATATATATATATATATATATATATATATATATATATATATATATATATATATATATATATATACAGTTATTTGAAAGCTAAAACCAGCAACAAGAGTGTTAAATGTGTTACAGCAGTAGAGATATGACGCGTTTTTTTGGTTCTTGTTTTTTTGGGTTTTTTGGTTGTTTTTTTCGAAAAAAAACATAGGGGTCTGTTTTTTTGTTTTTTTTTGGGAAATATTCAAAAATTCATTGTTTAAGTTACTAAATTTAACTTTAATGGCAATATCTTAATTTAATTTAATTTCTGATTTAAATAGGACAATAAATACTGAAATTTACTGAATTAATTTTTGCTTTGGTATGTTTAAAGGTTAACACGGTTGAAGCAGTCCTGTATAAAAACTTCTTTGATAATTTTATCTTCCTCAATTTTATCTTTATTATCTTTAGTGTATATTGACACAATAAACATTGTTTATTTACATTTATTATATTTAATAAAAATTAACAACTAATGAATGAGACTTAGCACAATAAAGAGTCAAGTGAGAATGAATTTTTGTTAATGGAACTAGAAATAATAACTCTTTTGAGCAGCCACCATGATATAATTTGTAGAAAAGAGATAGAGATGCAACTTTACAACAATGGGAAAGAGGCTCAAGCTTAGCAGATAGAGCTTGTTTAGAAGAAAAAGGGCATCATAAGAAGAACCAGCCCAAATATGACAACAACATTCCATACATGGACAAAAAGATATTTGTAAAGGTAGAGAATGGAATCAAGGGTAAGAAAATGACGATAATGATAAAGGGATGCTAATTTACCAATCGATTGTATATTTTGTTTACATGAAAGTTTAGTAGCAAATGATATTCCAAGAAGATGTAAAAAAGAGGACTCAGTAAGAGGGTTACCATTTATTAATATAGGAATGTCGACAGTATTGTGGTAGTTGTTTGCAGTAAATAACTGAGTTTTGTTGGAATTAAAATTTATAAGCTAAAATATGTGAGCCCCAATCTGTTACAGAAGTAAGATCAGATTCAAAATTGGCTGCCTGTTCTAAGCGATCAAAAAGAGAAGACTTTTTGTCAAGACAGGAGTAAAAACTTGAGTCATCAGCAAAAAGAGCTACTATAGATGTAGGGTTGTCGGGGAGATCAATAATGTAGATAAGAAACAAAACAGGACCAAGAATAGAACCTTGAGATACCCCAGAAGTTACTGGAAATAAATAAGTAGGCCTTTGACAATGATTATAATAAAGCAGTTAGAAAGAAATGATTTATTAATCCTAGATACACAATTAGAAGTTTCAAGTCTAATTTAAGTTTAATTGTTCAATATTTAGTTCATACTTAAGCTTATTTTCTATTCAACAGGTCCCTAATATTGTTTAAATGGTCCCTAAAATGTTTATATTAAAAAGGTCAACTTATTACTCAAATAAAGGGAAATTTTATATAAATCTTTTTTGAATTAGAATCTAAAAATAGATTCATACAAAAAATAACCAGACCACATTAACAACACTGAGTAGTGATTTTTAAAGCACCATAATATCTATATATACATACACACAGACATATATATATATATATATATATATATATATATATATATATATATATATATATATATATATATATATATATATATATACATATATATACATATATATATATATATATATATATATATATATATATATATATATATATATATATATATATATATATATATATATATATATATATATATATATATATATATATATATATAAAGAAAAAGGATATCTTTAAATTATTGAGTGAATTTTTTTTTCTTGTTGGTAATCAACAGGAAAAACAAAAAGAATTATGATTAGGCTCTCCATACAGGGGCAGAAATAAAACCTTAGTGACCATTTATTTAAACCTCTGAACCAAATTAGTAAAATGGAAAAAGGTAAACGATTCTTTTGCCATAAGATTATGTCTAAAAATTGAACTTAAAAAACAGAGCATATTAAAGAATTTTGCAAGTGTTCTGATATAGTGCTGTATGAAAATATTTAGATAAATAAATAATGTAATTAGAAAAAAAAAATGCTGTTAAAAAATAAATTACAAATTATAAAATTACGAATCATCAGGTGAATGGGGTCTGGAAAACTCCGTAAATAATAATAATTTGAAAATTTTACTTGAAATTAAGTTCAGTATAGGGCTTTTTTTTAATATGGACATACTAACAATATATATTTTTTTTGATATAACAAACAAACAATGCAAGACTTAATTACTACATAATATATAAATGCTTAATTAAGTAAATAATCTTGATAAATTGCTTATTTTTTTTAACATTCGAAGTCTGATATTAAATTTGCATGGTATTATACATTAATATATTTACATTATCAAAATTAAAATGGTAACTTTTTTATAGAATAAGAATAGTTTTTATATATAATGAGGGCATCACAGTTGTTAGTACAACAAAGCAAAAAATAAACATTTTCATACAGTATGTCTAGATATATAACTAACTTAAAGCTAATTTAAATTTTTTATAAAAAAATTATGTTAAATTGGTGTTTATACATTTAATTGTGCCTTTAATGGCCAAATACTAAAATTATACTAGAGTAAAGGAAAGCTATTCCAAAATCTATGTCAAAAAAAAACTAAAAAATTGTTAAAAAAAGCAATACAACACCAAAAAAAAACAAAAAAACACCAAAAAAAACGCCAAAAAAAACAAAAAAATGCCAAAGGAAAAAAACGTGTTTTTTTGCAACTCTATATAGCAGCATGGACTGGCACAGCAACAATTCTACTTAAAAATGGATATACTTCACATGGCTTATTCAAACTTAATTCACGATGTTATTTAAGATAAGATTGTTTTTGTTGTTGCTTGATAAGACATTCATTATACCTAAACATGCCTTAAATGTAGTTTATAGTTTGTTAACAACAACTTTCATTATATGTTTATTTCATTATATGTCAACTTTCATTATATGTTAACTTTCATTATATATTTCATTATATATTTGCAATAACAACTTTCCATTTGTAACGAAAGTTATTCTTTTTGGTAATGACTTTAGGCAAATACTGTCTGTTTCAAAAAGAGGGCTAATGTTGATGCTAAAGTTTTGACGGTTGTTTTTAATGATAATTTGGCTCTAAGAGATTCTAATTTATCTTTTTTTCTGAAAACTTGTCAGTTTCTTGCCCAATTGGCATTTACAATGAAAATCAATATAAGTCAAGGTCGTTTTTTATCTAAATATTAAAAAAACATGCAAAAATGCCTATACATAACAAACATAAATATAGTATATATAAAAATATTTGTTAATTTTCTTCAGAATGTAGAAAAAAGTAAAAAATGGTAAAAGACCCTTATTTATAAAAAGTGAAAAGCCCATGAAGAGATCACATGGCTTCTTGGGCCACCACGCCCCTGTATCTAGCATGCTGTAGTTCCTGATTTACAGCTTACACTCTTTTTTCATTATATGCCTGTTTAAGTTAGTTAATCTTATTTATTTAAAACTGTCAAAAGTTGCTTCAGTAACTTATATAGTTTTTAGGAAATAGTTTCTCCCTTTTGCTGTCAAGTATATATTTGAAAACAATAAATACTGTAAAAAAGAAAAGAAAAAAATATCACCTTTCTGAGGCCTGCTTTAATGCTGTTTTAAGAACTACTGACTTCCTTATTACTGGCATGAACTGTTCCAATATTAAAATTAAATTTTTCACCAACCAGAATTTTATACTGCAATTACATAAAAATAACTGTAAATTGACTGCAAACATTTGAGTTGGTTAAAAAGTGCTTTGTATCATACGCCAGATCCAAAACCAAACGATTATAATGAATAAACAAACATATATATAAAACTTTATCTTTCTAAAAAGAATTTTAAAAGATTATATAAAACAATAAACTTTTACCTCTAATAAACTGTATTTTTAAAATAGAAAAACCTAAAGGATTTAACATTAGATAAATACTATTCATTTAGCAAAATAAAGCAAACTTATTAACATTTTGGTTAACACCACCTTGCTAGTCAAGTTATTAGATTAGATCAGAATGCCAACTATATCTTTTAAACAAACATCACATTTGAAGTGAGGATTTGGGTTTGGATAGGCCACATAAACATCAGATAGAAAAAAAATTTGTTTTCTTTAGTATTCTTTTTCTAAAAACTTAAAGTAGATTCAAAATCAGTAGAAAGCATATCAAAATACCAACTTAAATAAAATTTTTATTAGAAAAAGTTGATATAATTTTATAAATTTAAATAATACAGTTAATATAATTTTAAAAATTTTATATAAAATACTGAAAAATATTTTATATAAAATGACTATACACTGATATAGATTACATGCCAACTTTTGCAGAATTTAGCATGTTTTATGTAAGAAAATTTGGCGGAAACATTGCCGCATGTAGGCATTTTTCTGCACAAAAAAAAACAAACAATAATTGCCATAAAAAAAAAAAATCCTCAATTTCAGATTTTGGGCAACATCCGATTGTCCCTAAATACTTTCAATGCTGTCGAAAAGGGTCTGGAATAGCCCTTGTATATATATATATATATATATATATATATATATATATATATATATATATATATATATATATATATATATATATATATATATATATATATATATATATATATATGTATGTATCAGCCCTCGGAATAAAGAAAAATAAGGTCGGTAATAATTTGATCAGGGTGTGAGGTCAACATCAGGTTGGCAGAAAAAATGTAAAACAAAGGTTTGACAATAAAACATTGAAATGAGGTTGGTGATTTCTTGCAGTTAGGTCAGCATTGCTGAATGCCAACCCTAATTCCAATGGTTAATATATTTATGTGTGTATATATATATATATATATATATATATATATATATATATATATATATATATATATATATATATATATATATATATATATATATATATATATATATATATATATATACATATATATATATATATATATATATACACAGGCTTGGGCAGGAATGGCGTGCGATCACACTCTGTAACTAACCACACTATTTTTTTTTCTTTACAACTTGACCACGTCTATTTTGATGCTTTAACAATTTAAATGCAATTAAAAAAAGTGTTACGTTACGAATAACTAAATAAAAAAAAAGAGTTAAGTTACGAATAACTTTTAATCGTTGATCTTTTCAAGCAAATATGTTTTTATTTTTCACAAAGGCTTTAAAAAAAACCATAAAAAATAATTATATTGATTGTTTACACAAACTCATGTGTAAATTAAAAATTGTTATATATAAATTTTTTTTATGTAGGCATATATTTTTTATGAAAAATTTAAATGTTTGAAACTATTTTTCCATGTCTTCCTAAAAATGTTTTAAACCATTATTTTTAGAAAGAACTTTTTGAATAAGTTCAAGACCTTTTGTAACTAATGCTTTTACACATTTTATGTAAATTATACAAGAATATAAAATAACTTCATTTACTTATATTTTGTTGATTAATGGAAAAGTTTTGAAGCATTTTGTAATTTTCATACGATTAATTTTTATAATTAAACTTATGTTTTTTAAAATCTTTTAAACAAACATTTTATTTTTAAAAGAAAAATGTTTTTTTATTCAATTACAATAGGAACGAATGAGTTTAAATCTTTTATAGTAATTTTTAAATTCGTTACTTAAAGCGCTCATTAATATAGTTGTAATGCTCAAATTAAAATTAAGTTGCTTGTTGGCAATTTATTTTAATTAAACTGCAGGCGCATTTTATTTATTTATTTTTTTCCTTTGATTTTACAAATAAAAAAGTTTTTTTTTTTTTTTTAACTTTTTTCCTAGTTTAAGTTTAGCTTAGCAATTTTACAACGCATTTCTGGAATGTTTTAATCATCAAAAGATATAAACAATCGTGGTCAAGTTGTCAAAAAATAAAATCATTGGTGTCGTCAGCTATAGCGCTCGATGGCACGCCATTCCTGTCCAAGCTTGTATATATATATATACAGGGCTCAAAATATCGAACTTTTTGGTACTGGGCAATTTGTCTGTTAAAGATTCAAGTTTGTCGAACATGTCCGATAAAGAAATGTGATCGAACACCACTCCTGATCACGCATAAAATATTTTGTTTTTACAACTTGACCACGCAATTTGTAAGGTAAATTATCTAACAAAAAGAAAATCTTAAAGAAAAAAAAAAACTAAGCTTAAAAAACTAAAATTTGGAGAGAGAAATATATTTATAATACATTTTTAAAAAATTACTATAATATGAGAAATGCTTTGTAAATTATTAAATATATAAATTATTATGTAAATATATTAAATACATAAATTATGTAATTATTAAATACATAATTAAATATATAATAAAAATGTAGAATAAAAGTACAAATTTATTAATTATATAAATTATGATGTAAATATATTAAATAAATTATTAAGTTTTTTTATTACTTTATTAAATAAAGTAACAAATTAATTATGCTTACAATAAACTTATTTTATTTAAATTATCAAAGAATATTATACGTAATTATATTTATATAAATATATATTTTTTTATAAAACTTTTTCTAGGAATAATTTTATAAACACTTTTAATAGCAAAAAATTTTAGCACAAAAACAAAGGTTATGTAACAACTCAAAATTAATAGTGAAATAAAAAGTAATAGTTTCTATAAGCATTAAAATAACTATTACGTTAAAATTTTTATAAAATGAATTTAAAAGGGGTTTTAAAAGCTAAAATATTTGTTTGAAATTTATAAAAACATTGAACAAATAATAAAACAAATACAAAACTATAAACTTAAATTAATAACTAATTGCAACGTTTTAAAATAAATGATAAAAACTGGGCTACTTATTTCAAAAAAATGTAATGTTTTAGCATCTTTAAAAAAATGAATCAACTCAAAAAAAATGACATATTTTATTAACGTAGCCATGTATTTATTTTCAATTTTATTTTGTATAAAATTAAAAAGTTCAAAAAATAAATTTTATATATAATACTGAATTTATTAATAATTTTGAAACAACTAAAATGATTAAAAAATAAATGCGCAAAAATATGGGTAGGACAAAATCACCGATAGATGTCATTTTTTACTGGTTAAGTGCCGGATAATGTCTGAAGTCTGGTGCTAATTTCAAGTTCTATTTATATACATATATGTATATATATGTATATAAATATACATATACGTATATAAATAGGACTTGATATCATATATATATATATATATATATATATATATATATATATATATATATATATATATATATATATATATATATATATATATATATATACATATATATATATATATATATATATATATATATATATATATATATATATATGTGATATATATATATTTTGAATCACACATATATATATATATATATATATATATATATATATATATATATATATATATATATGTGATTCAAAATAAAATGTTTTTTTTGGTTTTATTACATTAAAAATTATATTTTTTAACAAAAAATTAAAAAAAAAAAAGTTTTTATGTTTTTTTGTAATAATTTTGATAAGTTAAATTTTTTTTTTAAATAAATATTATTTTTGAGTTTGAGGGATCCTCTTAAAATATTTTTTATTCAAAAAAATTTTAAACCTAGTGTTTTTGTATTAGATAGAACACATTTCAGGGGTGGGAGCCGATTATTTTTAAAATGTTGTTTTTTGGGACATCCTAATATATATAAACAGGCCTTGGCAGATAGCGAAAGCTTTAGCTTTCGTTGTTGCCTAAACTTCCCTAAGTGGTTTACAGGAGCATTTCATGGCTCTCACAAAAACATAACTTTTTCATAAATATAAACCACTATTTTTTCTTCTCTATTTTTAGATATTGATTTTGAAAAATAAAATTCTTGTGCAAATTACACCGAATAAAAAAAAAAAATTGAGTTTCAGATTGACTTTTTTTCTTTACAAAGTGCAGCTGTTTATTTATTTTTTTTTTTTTTTTTGCATAACATTCACTGATTTTTTTAATAGCGCTTGAGATTATATTTTAACTATACAAATGGCTAACAACACTAAATATTTATAAATACTCAACAATTGTTTTGTTTTTGGTAAAGCAGAATTTTAGTATTATAAATGTGAATATAAATATTACAAACTATAATACAAAGTTATAATAGAATTAGTAAAAAAAAAAAATTGTTTTTATTTTAAATACAGATGGACAATGAACAGAGATTTTTTTCCTAAATTTTATCGGTGTGAAGTACCTTGTCATATTACTATTAGAACAAGAATCTGTGCCTACCAGACCTACCTCAGTTTATAAAAGATAAAAATTTCTCAGCGTGTGTTTCCAACACAAGTAGGAACTGTGTATTTTAGATCACGATGGCTTTAAGCCGATAACAGGTACCAAAGGTGTTTAAAATACCGGCTAAAATAAGTCAAATTTTAAAGCGTAATTTTCTTACAATTTTCTTCGCAGTAGTATTAGAAACCATCCCATTCATTGTTAGAACATGTTAGAACATATCATCCACTAGTTAAAACAGAAACCTTAGTTACAAAACTTAACTGATAATAATTACTGTTTAAATGCGTCCAAAAAAGCACTAATTTATAATAACATTTAATAGCAGTTAAATTATACCATCCATTGCCTGGCAAATAGATAGTAGAATATATTTAAAAACACATTTGAAAAAGTAAAACATTTTTTTCAATGTTATAACGGGTCTTTTTTTTTATTTTAGTTTATATATATATATATATATATATATATATATATATGTATATATATATATATATATATATATATATATATATATATATATATATATATATACACATATATATATAATC